TTTTTACACAATTATTCTTTCATAGATAAATCAACAATTATAGCAACTATTTTAGACCCACAAGCAAAATTATCAAAAAAAAACTTAATTTTCAATTCTTAAATCTGATTGGCCGGACTTTTTAGGACCTGGTCCTGGGCTGGTCCTAAAGACCTGGTCTTTAGGTCCGGACCTGCGGACTTTTCCATCCCTAATGTAAAGTCAAAATTGCTGAGATTATTTTCGGTTTTATTAACAACTTGCTTCAAAAAAATTTTTAAAGCAGATACATATAACAAAGAAGTTATTTATCAAATTTAGTGGCAATTGCCACACGACAAGGTATCAAACGAGGGTATGAAGACATTCAACTCGAAATTTTATTAATAAAAAATTGTGTAGATCACCGGAAATTTTTCGGAAAATAAACTTGCCCCTTGATGTCACACGACTACTATTAGCTAGCAACTATTTAACTAATTGACATACATTTCAGAGCCTTGCTCATAAGAGTAGATGCAGAAAATTGTATTTCTGTAACAACATTTTTTACAAATGAATTCTTTTGTTTAATAAAAACATTTTGTAGTCGGAAATTAAACAGTAGGGTTTAATTGTTTATTGGTTATCAGAATTATTCGTTCTATTCGATAAACTTTCAATGTAATTCGAATACTCAAATTTATAAAAAATAAAACAAATAATTCGAATAAACCTTATTCGAATAGAAACTCTATATATAGAACTTTGAAGTTTTGTAACTCGATTTTGGTTATTTGCTTTGGTAGAAAGCAAAGTTAAATTTTAGGTTTATGTTAAATGTAAACAATTTTGTTTTTGTAAAAGAATTAAGTGTTTTTGTGTAAACGTAAAGTTCAGCCGGATATAAATTGCTGACATTTATTAATCGTCATATATCACTTTGTTGTATTGTGTTAAAGTATTTTGCAAACATACGGCTAAATTTGATCAGCCAAAGAAAGTAAAAGTAAATAAATAAGGAATTTCACTAAAGCCACATTTTATTTATTGTTAATTGTGCCGTAAAAGTGCGCCTACGATTAATCGACGAGTGTAGCTCAAAAGTTAATTCAAACTCGACCATAGGATTACATTGATTGTTACATTTGGTCTATATTATGACATTACGGCCTGATTACAACATTACGACCTGATTATAACATTATGGCCTAATTATGGCTTTTAATTACAGCTACCATTCAGATGCCGTAATATTATGTATGACATTCACAAATAAAATTTGGGCTACATACATACTCCTTAGATTATGGCATGAATATATACATAAATACTTCTTTATCTAAAACAAGCAAACAACTATAAAACTCTGGTTTAAGTACAACTACATGGTTTCCCATTCCAATTAAGGATGATTTAATTCATAACCAATGATTAGAATAACTACTCCTTTTGGTCACAACCATGCGGCGGTCAAGTTAACCAGACGGGCGGTTTTATAACCAGGAAAGTTTTATCAACTCGTCAGTCTAAAACATCCAACCCACCCACTCTAAATGTTTATACTTAATAATTTCCTTACAATTGGAAATATAGGTATAAATGTCTATCTTCGGGTTACTGTTCAAAGCATAATTATACAAAAATGCCTTAACTTGTTGCCAATTTTAAAAGGTGCTGCCAACTTTAAAATGAATACAACATGATCGTTATTATGTGTTATGTCATTGTCATCTCAATGGCCCTTCATTTAAATCAATAGTGTTTTCAACTTGATTTGTATCCTCGCCATCAACCACAAAATGAATTAGACGCGAAAGAAATGGTTTTAGATGTAATAAATAGCCTTTGGCTTGACTTTTAGATTTCAAATGTTTTCACTTCTTCGTCTTCTTTGCCTGTGTTTAAAACATGAAGTCAAATGAAAATATGAAAATTATAAAATAATAGGATAAAATCTCTCCTGAAAATATTCTAGAGAAATTGGAATATTAATCGTAATTAGTAATGAGTTCAATTTAAGCAGAGAAATTAAATGAATGCATGAATATTTTTTTTGCGAAATCAGTTCATTCATTTCCTATTATATTCAATTTATGGAAACAGGATAGTCCCCGATAGGAGTATTAGTATGCGAATGTAGTGTTATGTCACATCAACCAAATATGGCGCTTGTCTATCCCATAATTTTTTAACAAATATATTTTAATAATAAAACCAAACAAGAATAACTTTGTTTTTAAATAAGCAAGAATTACTTATCGACTTGACAATAAATTTGTTTTTGCCAAGTATTTCGCACTTGCTTAAAACAAAATTATTTTACCAACTGGGCGCTTTGATGGAATCTTTATATATCAAATAATAAAGACGGTGAAATCAAAGAATCAGTCGGGTGAACAATTTGATTAATTTTATTTTTGAGGAAACTTAAGATTTTATTCTATAATAAATGTCACATACAACTTAATTCGCATAATTCTAATTCATAATTCATAATTCATTTCTTAAACCAAGAAAAATAAATATAATAATTAAAAAAAAATAATAAAATAAAATTTATTGTAATAAAAAGATTAAAAATCAAAATTAAAAAATAAGCAAACATTATATATATATTAACTTCTTTTAAAAAGTAAAAAAATTCTTAAAAAAAACTTAATCATAATTGATAGTTATTATTAATATATGGATTGTTGCTGTTGTCGTTGTTGTCGTTGTTGATTATCGTTAAATTTCCATCAAGCACAGGTAAATTTTGATAAAATGGATCGAGATTCCAATTAAATTGATTATAACATGTAAAGTTGATAAAAGATGGGTCAGTTAATGTGATTGACGGAACTGACGTTGTTATGTTGCTACTAGTATTATTATTGATATAGATATTGTCAAAGTCATTATTTAATGTATCAGCAGTGGGGGACATGATGATTTGCGCTTGTTGATTAAATTTGTCAAAATTTCCACCATCCGTAGAAGGCGAAGAATTTTCACCATCAGAATATCCAAGCAGATCTGGAATTGAATATTGTTCGTAAATATTGCCAATACTTTCGGACAGCATCAATTTATTTACAAGTGAAAAAGAATACGAAGGTGACGACATAGTTTGTTGAGTTTGTGATATATTATCCGAATTTGCAGTTGTAATTCCAAAACAGTTTTCAAAATCTTTTAGTGATTGAACCAAATCTGACGAAGATTTCTGTTTTTTATATGAAGATTTAATTAGAGTAGGCGAATAAGTTGTTGATCTTTTTTGGTTATTAGAATTCACAAAGCGATTATGGTTGTTGGAAATCGAACTCAAATTTGGTTTCCGTTTACGTCGTGAAAAAGTCAAAGATTTTTGTCGTGTATCTGTTAACATATTTCGAGCCTTTTCCGCGATTTGAAAATATGCATCCTTGATCGATTTTGGTTCCTTTTTCCAAGAAGTAGATGCCATAGAAGACACGTCTGTCATTTTAAGTGTCAAATTTTTCGCTTTCAATTCTCTATGGTACAGTCTTCGATAGATTATAAAAGGATTTGGGGACCTTGAAGGAACTTCACCATTTTTCTTTGGAATGACAAGTTCCTCAGGTTTAATCGGTGGAGGATAGGGAACTTTAACATGTGTGATAAATTTAGGCCTATCTTCAGCGGAATTAATTGTTTCGTTCACAAATTGTAGTTGATTATGGTCTTTAAAAGAGGAAGAAGACATTGTTGTGATTGTTTGATTTGAAACGATCATAAAAGGCGGAGAAATTAATAGATAGAAGAAAATTGAAAATCTTGTAGTGGTGAAATGATCAATTCCAGTTTGTTAGTTCTCGTCAACCGCAAAGAATTAAAAAGACGAATATTTATTCAATTATTTTATAGTAATTTTTTTTCTAACGATTCTATAAATAGAGTATTATTAACTTTTTTTAAAAAATTTATCGTTCGTGTTGGGAACACTGTATTTATTAAGTACAGCCCGACAATTTAAAATTATTGGATCAGGTTAAAAGAAATCGTAAGTTTTTTGTTTTTAATAACTTGTCATAAAAAAGACAAAGTCTAGAAGTATTGAATTTTCTTCTTTTTTTTTCAATAAAATAGAGAAAATTTCAATATTTAGATAAAGAAATAATCAACCAAGATTCCAAAAAGAGATGACAAAATAAATAGTCGAGAAAATGAATTATTGATTAATATGGATGATGTTATTATGTATGTGGATGTATGTGTGTTTTTTATGTACGGTAACGACAAGTTTAGCATACAATAAGGCGCGTTATCAAGGTGTTTGTATGTTATTATACTTTTAATATGTGTATTTTTGCTTGTTAATTAATACTTTTAATTTCACAAAAAATTTATAACATGAAGTGGAAAAGTGAAACACTTTTTATCTAAAAATTTAGATCTATTATGGCAATATTATTACACTAAGTTTGTACAACAGAAATGTGTGGCTTGATTATTGCCCGAAGTTGATTAAAGATGGAAATTAGTATGAAAATTTCAAATGGAAAAGATAAGCGTGGCCAATAACGTTCTCAAGAATATTGATATCCGACACCTCGCCACTTGTAATACTTAATTCGCCACACAATTCGGGTTTTTATCACAAGATTGAAATACGCATCTTCTTCTTCACTTTCTCATATTTCTCTGTAACGTGAACATTTATTTATTAATTTAATTCTAAATTTAAATTTTATATATGTATATATTTTTATCAAAAAGATAAAAATAAATTTCTGTTTTTAAAAATAAACAAGTATCATTCCAAAAGTGTCTTTGAAAATTAAGGTTCGTTTAAATTCGCGCCTACGTGTGATCAAAGCAATAATAGTTTTTCTTTAATAAATTAATTAATCTATTCATGTTATTACTTCAATAAACCCAAATAAATTTTAATTGTTACGTGTATTTATGAGAAAAAAAAACATTTATGTCTTGAAGATAATCCTCTTGTCATAGCTTTTGCGTAATTATTATGAAATTACATCTTTTAGCATGGTTTTGATTTTTGCCAAATTGCTCTGATTTGTGTTTTATCTAGCCTGCGAAGCAATAATTTTTAATTAGAAATATTGACTACAAACAGCTAACTTGTTTCAGTCAACAAGTAAATGGTTTTTATTTTAGTTACCAGATTAACGAAACTACTCGCACACATGTAAAACACAGACCGTAAAAATAAAAAAATTAATTCTTTCCGTGATGGTTTTTATTTGAATTTTAATTTAAATCTGAATCACATTTTAATAAATAAACCAAAAATACAAAATTCTTAATCAAAATAGATTATAAAGGTCACTCACACACTCTCAGTTTGCATGGATTACTTAATTCGGATCGATTGAATTCGTCAAATTTAGAATCGCGTGCAAAAATCCCTTAATGAATATGGAAATTTAATAAGAACGTGATGCATCTGATCTATATTTATTTTAAATTAATTAAAAATAAAATAAACAATGCATTTCTCAAGTAATTGAAGTATTTAACATTTATGGCAAATAAATAAATTCTGACGGTTAGTTTTTTTTTTGTTTTCATCATAAAAATTATCCATTGTTTAAAAAATTATTTTGTTAGATGTATTTAAAGATTAACCAAAAGTTTCTATATATGGCGATATATATAAAGGTATCATTTACTATTACGGTAATTAAATTAAGCTTTTAATGCATTGCATATAATAATATTTCTTGTTAACAATAAAAAATTTTTTGTATTACCAGAAAAATTTAGACGAATCGACATGTGATTCGTTACACAGTAATATTTTTGCAACAGTAGTGGTTTCCAATTTGTACTAGTCCGCAGTTGAATTTTCAGCATTGGTTGTATGGGTTTATACATAGGTCAAGGAATAATTTTCCTAGGACCCTTGGATGTAATGATTTATAAATTTCTTTGCAGTGTATGCACAGTAGAAGCTATCAAGTGACATAAGGATATGTAATAAGATGATCCCGTTGAAGAAACTGAGGTTTTTTTCATTAATAGACTTGACTCTTAATTCTTTTAATAGATCCTATAATATTTAATGTGCTTTTATTTATTTTTATTGATAGTCATCTAATAACACACACATAAACCTACAGATAAAGAAATTGAGGATACAATTAGTTACGTTAAATTAAAAAATACTATTCGTAATACCAATTCTGGCTCAAAGTTCTGAAAGATTATTAAGAACTAAAATGTGATATTAATGAAATAACTAACATAAGTCATTACATAATCGATCTAGTTCTTTCAAGCGCTGAACAAGAAAGACAAATCGCCACATCACTCAAAAATTCCTTTGCTTCAATATTTCGACGTTTAGGACAAAATTCTAAAATTTCTCCTGTTCATGATGATCTTTTTCTAAGACACTCGGATGGGAAACATCCTATATTCAAACCTAAAAAAAAAACAAGGATCTAATCCATTAGACTACAATGAATTTTAACACATTCTGAATTTCAAAGTATGCCATTATCTTGCACTTACAAAGTCTATTTCTGATTACGTTTCTTGTGTGGTGGTTTCAAAGATTGAAATCTGCAAATGTAGAATTGTCAGCTTTTAATGGACTGGCAATTACAATTCCTCTTAAAAAAAAACAATGCTAGAGGCTTTATATAAATAATTATGGTATGTTAGAGCCACAATTAAAAAACTTATCATCATCTATTACAGGTATCATTATTAATGATATATTTAAAAGACCTCAAGAGTTTACATGTGAAATTTTTTTCTTTCCCTGTCTTCAAAATCAAATCAGGCGAATATAAATTGTCATTTTTATCATTTTTATTGATTGATTATTATTATTAAACGTTAATAATCGGTGTATATGTATTTTTTTAAAGATTTTATATTCGGTTTATTGATGCTCCTTTAGAAAAATATTCACATGAAAATATGATACATAAGATTTCTGAAACCACTGGACTAAATTTAGATTTAAACTACACTACTACATTACAAATCATTCAGTGAAATACACAACTGTACAACACCTAACGCAACTAAATGTAATAAATGAAAGATTATGAAAATCATTGGTCGGGTCATAGATCAATGGCTGGTGTTGCTGCTTATCAAACATTTAACAAGGAAATTATGCATGAAACTATAAATAAAACGATTCCTGAAGGACATGGTGTTTCTAATATAAATAAGTATTAAATCTATAATATTATATGTATTTAAATTATTTGATTGATTTATTTTCTACACAATGTTCAGATAACTACCAGAAGATCAAATTTTTAGATTGAAATTGCAAGTCACGCACATACTTGAGTCATTCCCTTTTTTTTGCTCACCATTACATCATTATCATGTTGTAAATATAAAATACAATTTTTAAAAAAGATCTATTAATGTGACGAAATGAAACATTTAAAAATAATACCAAGAGAGACTCTCATTGGACCTTTTCGATATGGAGGGTGTGTTGAAGAAGTGTTTATTGGCCGGTGTTGATGATGATTAGTATAGTTGTATAGATTCTTGAGAAGTGGAATGAAAAGTTGAGAACAATCTTGATGTACTGTACTAGCAATAGTAATGACGATTTCTGAATGAATATCCCGAGGCTTTATAATATAGTCACATTTGAGATAGTTGATATACTCAACAGCACCATTTACTTTGACACTAGTGATCTTGCAATTGATAATCAATTCTATGGGATTGTGCAAGCCTGCCTAGCTAGTCTGTTGGAAACACCATACACAGACAAGTTTGCAAAGGATCTTTATGCATGTTCATTTGACAACAGACGGGTCATAAGTAAAAATTTTACACTATGATATAGAGTCATTATATTTAAAAAAGATTGTTATTGGCTCTTTTCTTCGTTTCACGTAAATAATTTGGTTGAATTTAATTTTTTTTTGTTCAGGTTATGGTTATTATCTCATTTGGCAAGGTATTCAAGAAAAGAATCTGTTCACAGTAACATATAAATCAATATTAATATTGCGCGTTAATTTCTTACGTGATATATATAGTTTCAGAATAAGGTTTTTTGTTGCGCCAATTCCATTACATACAATAAATTTCGTTATAATAGAAATAGATAAGATTCACTATAATGAATGAGCTTTGACCGTATACATGGATAGATTGTACTGTAGTGTTTTATTGATAAATTTTTCATGATCGAAAATTACAATATAAAAGTTGGCTCAATGTAAGACTAAAGAGAAACAATGATGGCATCATGTATCAGGAGAGAAATTGACTAAAAGAGTAAAACATTACAATTAATAATAAATAATGTTTCACATTAATTTGTATATGGAAATTTAACGCAAGAACAGATAAAAAAGATTTTCTTATTGTATTCATTCATATCCATTTACATTGTCTGCTTTAAGAACCGTTTCAATGGCCACTGGTTTTAGAAGCTCCTCCTCACTTCTATTGTAAACATAGAATTTATTTATGTGTTTAATATATATGAATAATAGATTCCTGATGATGAAACGGAAGGTAATTAATTTTTCAGTTTCCATTAAGGAAAAAATTACGAAACTATTGATTAAATATGCATGCATGCTTCCCATCTCTCTTGCACAATGTGTGTGTGCACACATACATATAGATCAGTTTTTTCAATATAAAAACTTCTTCATTTTATTTATTTCTTCACGCTTTTAAGGGTAGAGTATACGTAACATGAATCTACTATGATCTACAATGGCTAATTTTGATTTTATCCGGTTAAAAAAGTAAGCCACATATTAAAGACAAATAAAAAATAAATAAAATTGTACAAATTTTATATCTTTAGCTTCTCAAGATTCTGAGTT